TTAATAATAGCATGATTTGTTCCGAACTAATGAGTAATACATTTGACTTCAACAAAGTGATCATCAAATTGTCTTGAATACTTACTTTACATTCCTCACTTTATCCACTCACATTTTACCTCTATTTTCGTTCTGAAATTATGTCAGAATTTGCCCGTCCAATATCAAAATTTTCGATTCAAGGCTGTAACTGTTGACCGATTCAAGGATGAGAGCCTTGAACCTATGGTTCATTTTCTTCCGCTTTGTCAAACAGATCACCAGGTGAGCTTGAATTTTCAAAATAATACAAAGCTAAAAAGTTTAAAGTTATTGTCATAAAGTTCCGGCTGCTTTATTGAGTGCACTACCGTTTTATATTCATTTAACTTCATATATTATGCCAAATCATAAAATAAGATAACTTTCAATACTTCAACCGACGTAGACGAAACGGATGCCCTTACTGTCACTCTCGTTCCGGCAGGTTACTGCCCAGGTTCAAGGTTGTTCCTAGTTTCCAAAGAGATATCTGTTTTATTTATTGGCGACTTCATAAGGCAAGTAGGTCTTAATAAGCAAATAATTCTTCTTTTTGTCATTTCACAAGAATCTGTTGTTCAGAACTTTGATAACATTTATCTCGATACAACTTTTGCAAATTAGATTCCAATTTTTTTTGGAAGAGCTGTCTTTTAACCATCTTTGAAAACAAGTTGAACTGGCTCTCTTGATTCCAAAATAATGTCGTCCGTTTTTAAAACAAAACTTGCTACGGCTAAGAGTTTTTGATAAAACATTTTACACTCAGATCGAACATTAAAGTTCTGGTATCAATATCTAGAATAAACTGTACAAGTTCTCCCGTCATTTCAATATTGGCTGATTTTAGACGCTGAGAGTACTAAAATCCTTTTCAGCAAGCCGTCGTCTGCGTCTAATAACCTTAAATTGCCCTATAATTGAGAGCTATTTGGTGCTGTTATTCTTCTCACTCTTTGGTTGGCGAAACAATTGATTGCGTTTCTTGTCCTTTAAATCGAAAGTTTAACATCCTTCGTTTGTCTGGATAAAAATAACTGTCTTGAGTCTGTGAAAGCTTCAATTCCTAATACGCTTAAAAGTCTGAAACAGTTTACATCAAACAATGTGGGTAAAATGTTGTGGAACGAGAACATTAAATTCAATATAAAAGGTAAACCTAAAGTTTGTTCATAAAATATTTCAAAAAAAGACCAGAATGTGTATAACAGCAGTAGGGACCGGAATCCCTGCAGCCAGTGAAACAACCGAGGCGCACTGCTGAGGGCGAAGAGTTTTTGGGCGGGGATACACTAACTACTGAAAACGAAATAGCTGAGGAGATAGAACATAGAAAAACCAAAAAATTGATGAAATTGCTCAATAAAATTTCAAATCACACTTAACCTGCTTTTTGAAATGTAATTTTTTTTGATCAACTTGATCGAACTGACCAATTTAATTTAGAACTAAAATTTTGTACTTTTTCCTTGTGAATTGTTCTTCCTCGTATTTAAGTTTTCTGTTTTAGTTTTAATAAAAAAAAGATTTTTAACCCAGTTGATCAGTTTTCAAAAAATACAATCGGGCCGTCCTTTAACCCAAATTTAATTCTCACCTTGTAACCATCTCATCTAAAATTATGATGGTGATTTCTGAAAACCAAATACTGAACCAGATAATGATTTCAATTGGTGACTGTGTTTCCAAATAGCCTGGAAAATTGAAGAAACTCCTCAGTTGAGAAAAGTTTTTGCGTGATCGATTCTAAAAAGTGACAAACACCAATTTAGTTAAACATTGTTTTCGAGGTTTTTTCATAGATTCCGCTAAAAATGGTTAAGCCCTTGCTTTTAAATCCCGCATTGCTACAAATAATAATTCCAGCTCTAGCTTCTAATTGTTCAAATGTAAGTGCAAAAAAAAATTGCGGATTCCATTTACATTTTGCGGACTTCAATTACATATTGGACTCCAGGTCAATTAGCTATCAGTGCATATTGCACAATCCGCAAAAAAAACGGGCCGAGAAAATTTACTTTACAGAAATTTGAACGCGGAATCCACAGAAGTTTTGTAAGTGGAATCCACTTACATTTTCGAACATGTTTAAGTTTATGTCTCTGGAATCCAGTGCATACTTTTGCCTGGTAATTGAAACAACAGACCAAATATGATAATGCTCATTGACCAGATCAAGGTCAAAAAGACACTTCGGTCCACTGGTTACACCAGAAGACGAGAAACAGGTAAGAGATTGTGCTAAAGATTTTTACGAGCTGGCTCAGGAAAAATTCTTGACCACCAGATTGGGAAGTCTTAAAAACACTAAAAAATTGGTTATTACTTAATATAAAAGGAACATGAATTCTTATTTAAGTTTGAACAAACCAGAGGAAGCATCAACAATTCAAAAAAGAGCAAAATAAAATTCAATCAAAATTTCTTCATTTATGTTTAGAACACCTTAATTTCCGTCAATGATATTTATAGCAGTATTATTTGGACTTCAATTTTGAATAGTTGAATAGTGAATAGTTTGTTGAAAGTATTATAACGTAATTTTGTTGAGTGTGTTTATAAAAGTTTTTTTGATGTAATTTGGTCTTCAATTCGTATCGACAGATTCTCTTTATTTCATTTCTCTATTGCATTGATGAACTTCCAGCTAAATTTCTAATAAATTTTCATAACAACTTCCAGAGATTCAAAATTAGTGCAGGATTTTTTGAAGTTTTTTTTGAATAGAATTACGGTTCCTTCTAGTTTTTGATACCATCAAATATGATTATAAAAATTTTATTACTAACAACCATATCTGCTACTATTGCTACCAATATCAGAAAAAAAACCTAAAATTTTTATTGTAAACTTGACTATTTTATGATCAGACACTTTGAGATCTATTGAGACTAAGAGATAAGAGTAAGATTAGATCGGTATTAAATGAAATGAGAAGTTGCGCGAACCTATCCGGCTGAACATAGATAGCATGACAAACAGACGGTTTCCTCTATTTCAACTTGTTCTATTAGATAGCCTATCAGTCCCATCTCAAGTTTGCATGCTAACTCTTCTCAAAATATACAAGATTTCTGGCATCAGCGAAAAGCCTTGAATGTTCCGACTGCCTTATAGTGTCTTTGAGGCCGCGTTTACTTTTTTTAAAAATAGATAAAATGTTCAAAAGGAAAAGAAACAATTTAAAATTCCTCCCTTACACACTACGTAAAGAACAAAATAATAAATTTTGCATTTAGTAACGTATTACTTAGACCAAATAGAACACCTCAAATTAAGACGAATTAATCTCCGCTTTTTTAAGACGAATTAATCTCCGCTTACGCGTTAATAGTACAAAACATATCTCGCGGTCAAATAGGTCAAACTGGCGATCTTTAAATTCCAATAACTTTACAAATAGTAATCACAGGTGAAATAGCGTTTAAATTTTGGTCTTCGGACAACAATACCTTTTGAATGATTTGAAAAATAAATCCATCAAAAGTTGTTAGTTAAGGATCGAAATTTGTCAGGGGAAAAACCACCCGGATCACATACTTTGTCATTTTCTGCGAAAGTCCAATAAAAAACAGATTCGATCGTAGGATAGCCAATCAGTCAGCTAGTCAGCCTATGTGGTTCTAGTACTGCTCTATTCTTCTTAAGACGATTTATCCACAAGGAAAAGGATCAACATCCCGGGTTGACCTCCATACACCGAAAATGCTTATCATACAATTCCATACATCAAGTGTGTGGGAAAATGCTTGTCATACAATTTTCATAAAATTTCTAAAAATGGTTGAAAACTGGTATAAACTCTTTTCTGTGGCTGTTTGATTCTAATAAAACAATCTGGTGATAAAAAATCTGGAGGTTTTCGTTTTTTGAAAAAAATGCTTATCATACAATTCCCATATATGAAAATTGTATGACTGGCATTTTTTTGATGGCGACACAAAAAATTTTTCAAGCAGTTTTGAAAATTTGGCCCAAAAATTTTTCGTTTTTTTTTCAACCGCAAATCGATTTTCGTACGCAAACAAACATTTTTCAAAAAAAAAATTTTGCATGCAAAATTTAATATTTTGTGTGCATAACGTAGTCCTGGATACGATAAAATTGGCTTTGACTTTCTTTTCACTTAATTTTTTTTTTTCAAAAACGCTGAAAATTCCTTTTTCTTTTGTATGGGGTGTTAATGTACGCCTTGATCAATGTCTGATAATTTGAAAATTCAAAAGTTTAATATAATCATCATTAATAAATTTTGCCAAAAAATAAAAGTTTGTTACTTTTGTTATATCAATTGTGAAAGACAGCCAAATTCAGGTCGTTTTCTATGCATTGTAAATGCAAGACCGTCCAACCTTTGGTGTTTTGAGTAACCAAGGTCTATGTCACTTGTGTTCGGTTGCAACTGCAACCGAAAATTTTTCAGAAACTAAATTTAGAAAGAAAAAATCAAAATTTTTGGTTTATGGGAAAACACCTATCTTACAATTTTCATATATGGAAAAATGCTTATCATAGAGTTTTCATACAATTTTCTGTACGTATGGAATTGTATGAAATTGTATGACAAGAAGTTTCTCATATATGGAAATTGTATGATAAGAAGTTTTGGTCAACCCGGGATACGAGCTATTCAGCTCTTCACGGAGAGCCGCTGTTGCACGCCTAGTTTTTTTACACTATTCTGGGCATGGGTAATGTTGTTTCACCCTCACGCAATAAGCACGGTTTGAGAACACAGTTGGGCCTCAAATATCCGACCTTCCGATTAAATTCAGTTGCAGATTTGGGTTGACGGGGGGATAAGCGACCCCTGCCTGCCTCCCAAAAAGTTCCCTTTGTTTTTGTTTTACGTAACTCATTTTCACTTGACCGAACCTATAATATATTCTCAAATATTCATTCATGAAATTCAAAAGTTCATTCATTCGAACTTGAAAACTTTACAACATCTTCAAAATCTGAATGAAAATTCCCCCTCGAGGATTTTCTAGATCTGCACCTGGCTCTATTACTGGTTACAAGTAGCTCCTATTTCACATGAGAATCTCATTACGCAAATTACAAACTTTGATCCTCTTAGAATTTAGTATTTTCTTACAACAATTAAATCTGGTCATCCAGCAGCTATATTTTGTACACTAATTTTTTATTAAATCATAAAAATTAATTTGGCTATTTTTTGACGAATCTTCAGAAGCGTCTTGGTCGTTCGGTTCTTCTAGTATGCGACTGGTTTCATCCACAGGGGGTCTGTATGACTTCTCTGCCATGTAGAGCAGCACACAGCAGCCCACTTTCATGATGAGGGCCACCAACATACACATGATTCTCAAGTGGATAGAGTCATACACCACACAGTTGTTCTAAACAACAGTTCAGCTTTTCATTGACTGACTCCAAAATTGTTTCATGCCTGCGAAAAAAGCAAAAAGCTAAAGGATTATAGGAACATAGTCGATCTGTGGGAGGAAGGGGAGTTCAAGATCACTTCGCGCGATGTTCAACTGTATTAGATACCAGTACCAAGCATAGTAGTGCAAATCAAGCAAAGTTCTTAGAAAAGCAAGTCAAGCAAGTTTCTTAGAAGTGCAAATCAAGCAAGATTTTTAGAAGTGAAAGTCAAGCAAGATTCTTAGAAGTGCAAATCAAGCAAGATTCTTAGAAGTGCAAATCAAGCAATATTCTTAGAAGTGCAAATCAAGCAAGATTCTTGAGTAGAAAAGCAAAACCTGCAAGAACCTCACCAGATGACATATTTTCTTCGGCAATTGTATTTAAGTTAAAAATTTAAAAATAATTGCCGTAGAAAATATATCCTGAGTGATTATCTTCAAGTTAAATTTTTCTTCGACAATTTTCCAGTTAAGAATTATCTCATCTGTAATAATCATTTATAACTTTCGACTTTTCAATCAAAAATGCTGAAAAAAATTGTACATCCATAATAATCATCTATAACTTTCGACTTTTCAATCAAAAATGCTGAAAAAAATTGTACAACAAACAAGTAAGTATCAACTAGTCATTCCTACAATCGACTTTAACTTGATTGTCACAGTTTTTCAATACGTATAACGGCACTAAACTTTGAAAGGATAGTTAACGAGATCAACTGATGTGAGTCAAACCTACCCTGACAAACATGGGCAGTATTTTTTAGAAAATAAAGAATTATTTGTGCAAAGCATTGTATCAGGGGTGAATTTGATGAGGTAAGGTGAGAGGGACATTTTTAAATGCTTCCAGTGGAGGCTATAGTACAGCTTCCAGGCTATTTTAAATATACAATTTTAGAGCTTCCCTTAGATTAAAAAGAAATAACTTTTGATCAAACGCTTCAAAAGTACCCAAAAATGCACTTCTGGCAAACTTTGCAAACCTTTTATAAAAGGGAGAAACTCAGATCAAATTAATACTTTTTAAGATTTTATTTGAGCGCGGAAACAAAAACAAACAAGATCGCTCGTATCAGTGCGAAGCCCTGAATGTATCGACTGCGTTTATGGAACCGTGTTCATTAAAAAAAAACATTGATGAATTTTTCGAAAAAATAAGAAAGAAATTTTTGAAACTAATCACCCCATAAGTGATTTAAATTACAATGTAACAGAAGATTTCGCCTCTTGTAACGTAGAAATTCTGATAAACAGCTTCCTTCAATCAATTTGGAACAAATTTTGAGACGGATTAAATCTCAGCTTACGCGTCATTAGCGCGGAACATATCTCGAGTTAATTAATACAAATTGTCCCAATTGACAATTTATAAACTCCAATAAATTTACAGAAAAAGGTCGCAGGCGTTACAATTTTTTAAAAAATTTGAGCTCGAGCAACAAAATTTTTCAGATGGTACAGAAAAAATTTGCCGAAAATGGCTAGTTAAAAAGTCTGGAGATAAACAATTTGTCTGGGGAAAAATAAACCGAGCTCCAATATTCCTTCAATTTCTTCGAAAAACGAGGAAAATTTAAGTGAACTACAAACGGTCGGCAACATTCTCGCTAATTTTGAGATTCCACTCATCTCGCAAAAGTAGTAGATCCCTTCTGACACCTATAGTTGCTTTTTGTTCCGACTTTCGAAAAAAGTGAGGAATATATATGCCCGAGGTGATTTTTTTTTACTCAAACCAATTTCATAATAGTTGACTGCGTATGGGCAGCGATCCCGAAGTCTTCTGATTGCGAAGCGAGTATGCTTGCCTTTGACTAAAGGTCGGTTTTGCTGCTGGAATAATACTTTGATAGTTTGTTTCAACACGCGAATTAATTATGCGTGGCAAGTTATCCGCACTCATAAGCATTTCAAACTGAAATGATACCAGCTGTTTGGTTTTCCCAATTCCATAAACGATTCAAAATTTAGCACTGCATTTTGATTTGACGGCCTAATATGTGTAGTTTGTAAATATTTCATATACCGAAAACAATACGAGACCAACTAATGGGCAGTCGGATCATCCAGGGTTTTGTCCTGATACGGGCAGTCTTGTTTTTATTTAGGAACTTGTTGATCATGCAAATTTCGAATAATTCTGCAATGTCTTATATTGGCGTTTGTAAGAGTGTTAGGCGCTCTTCATTGCGCTGCTTTTTTAAATGCCGTGTAGACATTACAGTCAACTCATTTCATTGGCAAACGTATTGCCACAGAGCATCAAAAATACAGTTTCAAACAAATAGGTTTTGATTTGCAACAAACAAAAAACACAATCTGAAGCTCAAAACTTCGAGCTGAGTGTTGGTGCTTTAAGGTTAACAGTTGCTAAAAAAACCAACTGTTATCTTTTCATCGCGTAAAATAAACTATAGCATTGAAAGAGTATCTAGAATCTATAAGGAACACTAGGAGAGACAATTGTTGTGCAATACGCACATAAAAAACCTACAACAGTTTGCATCTTGAGCAAAAGAAAATAAAATGGCTCGTATTAGGGTGGAGCCTTGAAAAATTCCGGCAGCATTTTAAGGTCTTTGGGTTAGTATTTGATTTTGAATGAGGCAGAGCATGGGATGCTTAGAAAAAGTATCCCCCACACAATATATAATACGAAGTGATAGATTTCACTCCTAGTAGCGTATCCTTCATGTTAACTAGCCTCCTTTTAACCAAGTTGAAATGATTTAAAAGACAGATTAATAGTCCCAAACTGGCAAAATTGGCAATCTTTAAACCCCCATATCTTCACAAAAACTGATCACTGGTAAAACATTTTGTTTTGTTAAATTGAGCTCAAGGCATCAATATTTTCTGATTGTGACCTTTCGAAAATTTCCGTTAAAAGCTTTTAGCTAAGAAGCCGAAATTTGTCTGGATAGAAAAACCACTCCGAGTAAAATTTTCCGTCATTTCTTCAAAAATAGACGGAACGATAAAAACGAACAAAATCATTACTTTTCATAGAAATCCGAGTTCCTCAAAAGTGTGTTTTTTAAATCTTTTTAAGTTATATTAGCTTTTTAAGCTAAACAAAGGGCAACCACTTATTTATCCTAACAAAGACATCTTTAAGGCTTCCGCTCTTCGATGATGAAAATCAAAAATATATATTTTTTGGACTTTTTTGGATGCATATCACGAATAAAAGGGCCTATGTAGTAAGTTTTTTTATATTTATTGATTCATTCTTAATTCGTGATGCAGTCGGACAAGAGAAAAATGCATATGGTCGGTACAAAAATGCCCTTCCTACGCCAAATTCTAACCACTTAACAAAGAAAACCGCCATAAGTTCTTTCCAAATTCTTGATGTGGTCAAAACAAAGAAAAATCACCAGGCGCAACTGGTGATCGGATTAAAAAGTTCACACCCTATGCAACTGTAATTTTTCTTTTCAGAAACTAGTCATAAAGTACCCTATGTCATAAGTTTTTCCACTTTCTGAAACTGTAGCCGCAAAAATACACTAAGAACCATAGTTTCTTCCAAATTCATGAAGTGATCAATGAAAAAAACCTATCCTAAGCATTTGTTTGTTCCCACTTTGTGAAGTGGTCAGAACAAAAAATCTATCCTACTCTGTAGATTCATCCCGCCTAATGAATGCGTTGACACAGAAACATTAAAAAAAACTTAAGCCATAGTTATGTCCCACTTCGCGAAGAGTTCGGATCAAAAAACACACACTACGCCCTCCCTAGTGAGTTCGCACTTGGTGAAGTGGTCGGAGCCACAACTTATTGCCTAGTGGCAGCTACGATGGCTATCGAAATCTCATCTGACCTCTTTGAGACCGCACTCCCTCTTATAAAGCACACATCCCCCGTCGAACATGAGTCCAATGAGAACTGGACCAGGAATGGAGCCAAAGATACAACTCAGCACCCACCGCAGTCCCAGTGCCAGACTCCGCTGGTGGCCAGGCACTATCCGCAGAATGGCCACCTGTAAACGACAATATCGTGTTCAAATATCAAACAAGACTGCTCGTATCAGGGGTAAGCCTTGAATGTTCCGACTGCCTTTCAAGGTCTGTAGAGCATTGTTCATCTAAAAAAAATTGATGAATTTTCCAAAAAACAAGAAAAAATTCTTTACAATTTTTTTAAAATTACTGATATTTTTTAAGTGATCACTCCACACGCCGTATCAAGTTCAAAGTAAAAAGTTCCATTCCTAATAACGCATAATTTATGGCAAATAGCGGGCTTTAACCGATTTGGAACGATTTCTAAGACGGATCAATTGTCCCAAACTGGCCATTTTGGCAATCTATAAACACCCATAACTTTACAAAAAATAATCACAGGTGCAATATATTTTTTAATTTGCGGTCAAAACAACAATGGTTTTCAAATGGTATAAAAAACCGTCAAAAGATGCTTGTTAAAAAGTCGAAACTGTTCTGGAGAAAAAAACTAACACACAAATATTGCGTCTTTTTATTCGAAAGTCGGAAAAAAACACTGAAAAATGAACTGTTTTGCTATACTTTTTACGGTCCTTTTTGTTCTGTTATTTTATCACTTTAATTAATTAACTTTCGGTATTAATTAGATAGATGCCATTGAGTTTCATAATGAGCATCGAGAATAGACATTATCATTACGAGGCCAAACTGTGTATTTTGTATATTGTGAGCGTATGCCTCAACAAGGACACTCCCTTTGTTCTTTTTTGTTCTTCCATTCTCTTTGGTTGTTCCAACAAAATTTCAACATGTTTAAAGGCTTGTCTCTGGAACCCAGTAACACATAGACACAAAATTATGCGCCTATTCAGTACACGGTTTGGCCTCGTAATGTTATATCAACTCAATTTCTTACCAACTTTTTTAAACTTACTGTGCATAATGGTACATAAGTAGTTATAGCAACACAACCACCATTTATTACCTGTACTTATTTGGCTTTTTTTAGAATAATATCATTTGTACAAAATTTACGAACGTCAAAAAAGTTTTTTGTTCCGAATTTCAAAGAAAATGATGACTGAATATTTGTGCTCGGGTGTTTTTTTCACCAGAATTTTTAACTAGCGATTTTTTTATCATTGAAAAAACTTTTGTCCTCAGCTCAAATTTGAGAAAATATTTTATCTGTGAGTAATTTTTGTCAAGTTTTGGGGGCTTTACAATTAATCCATCTTAGTAATCTTTCCAACTTGGTTAATGCAGGTTATTTGTCATAACTGATACGTTATTACGAGTAAAATCTATCACTTTATACTTTATATGGCGTGTGGTGGATATTTTCCCCCAAAAAGTCTCAACAATTTTTTTTTCAACTTTTATGTTGAAAAACTCATCATTTAATTTAAAGGAGCACTGCTCCATATACCTTAGAAGGCTGTCGGAACATTCAGGGCCTGACCTGATACGAGCAGTTTTGTTATTAGTTTATGCTAGATTTTTCTTAAAGCTATGTGAAAAATTCTCACGTTTCTTCTTTTTACTATCATACTCTTTGTCGTCAAAACTGCAATTTTGATTATATTGTTCCATGATAAGGAGCAATTGCTGATTTAAAATTAAGGTTTAAAAGCGACCCTTGACGGTTATTCCATTTTGGATTTCTTCCTCGGATTCAATTTGGTTGTTTTCCATAGCAGATACTTTTGCAAGCATTGGTTATCTCGTAAGACCCTGCTTGGTGGTTGCTACCTTGTAAGAATATATGGTAGCTAATAATGTAAAAAAGTCTTGAAAAAATATGTCGCTAGCTTTTTTAAATTCGAAACTTCAGTTACCTTTGTTGGCACGAACGACAAGCTAGTTGACACTATGATTGAAAACAGGCCCAAATAGAGCGCAAACCCATAACTGCACTTGTATCCACACAAACCGGGCTTCGCTGTTTTCGAGGCACCAACACAAGAGCAATTCGTGTACGTTTCAATGGCCATTTTGGACCCTGGATCTACATCCGAAACACATCCTGCGTGGCATGGTGAGTAATATTGGACGCTGTCTATACCACACAGTGGGAAGTAGTCTTCGTCCATGCAATTGCACTCGGAGTTGCAATATGACAGAAACCTAAGTGATCGATCAAAATAGTAATTTCTGAAAACATTAAAATAAATATGCAAAAAAAACTTTAGCGAACTGCCAGAATCGCAAACCTAGGATCTTAGACACATGAACTGGATAAGTTTCTAGTCTGCAAAATGTCGTATATGTAGTGAAACAAGAAACAGTTTATTTTTAACAGTTTTTCATTTGAATTTAGAAAATGTTGGCCAAATTATTTTTTACAAACCACTATAACAGCATATTGCCGAGTGCAAACCTGGACTCAAAGTTATGATTGGGATCTAGTTCCAGATTTGTTTCATCGAAAGGGTAGTCATAGTTGATTCCTGCGTAATCTTGGTTCCCACAAGGTACCAGGAACACTAGCAGCAGTGGCACACTTAAAAATGTGACCCATTTGCAGAAAGAGATGATTTGGGTCGCAGACATGTCGAATCGCTCCACAACCCAACCTCCGAGGAATGTCCCTCCGCCAGCAGAAGGCACTGCGACAGCTGCTGCCATCAAGGCTGCACTGCTAGCCGTCAAGTTAAACTGGGACTAAAGTTAATAAGACTGAGCATATGAAGCCCTGATTGTTCCCTTTAAGGCAACTGCAGTAGAAAATTTTACAAAAACATCTGTAAGATGTTCAAAATTGTTTTCAGATCTTTTTTATTGCGACCATTTATAATGGGGAAGAACTTTGTATTCGGGTGTGTTTTAGTTTTTTTCTCCTTTTTGTTTTCCACGCAAAAACAGCTACCACAAATAATCACCTGCTGACAGGTTTGAGTGATATATCATATTAAAACCCTTTCAGCCGTGATTTGAATGGCATCAAAAAAATTCCCGGTGTCGAGAAAAAAAAACGTTTTGAAACTTTTGATTTTTCGTCCAATTTTGAGCGAGTGAGCAGGCTTACGTTAGCTTATTTATGCTTATTTAAGCATTGAAAATTTAGTTTACTCTAATGAAGTTAGCTATTTGGAGTTTTTAGCTTCATCTTAGGAATCAATAACTTCAAAAAATTGCGAAAAATTTTGAAAAATTATTTTAAAAATTGTCTTCAAAAATTGTTTTCCAATTTGCATATTTTACATTACTGACGAAAATACCTAAGCTCTGCTTTTTCGCTCAGATTCCTTTCTCACACCAAGCCCAAAAAACGACACCAATTGGAAAAATAGTTTTGTTGTAATTTTGTAAGACTGGTCGGAACATTCTGTGCTGCTTACACAGTAATCGTTAATCCTTGTTTTATTTTTGTTGTTCTTAGGAGGAAGTGACGGAATAACTGTGTTCGGGTGGTTCTTTTCATCAGACGACTTTTTACTTTTAATCAGCCTTTTTGAACAGAAATTTTTGCCATCAGAATTGTGTTGGCGTACTGAGTTTAAGATTTTTCACATGTGATCAATTTTGATTAAAAAATGGCGGTTTGAAATTTTCCAATTTGCGAAAATAACACGCGGTTAATTTCGTGCAATTAGCGCGTAAACTGCACTGTAGGCGGGCTCAGTAACTTCTTCTTCAGTTGAGGAAAATTTTTTGATAATTATGTTATTAGAGGCTAAATGCATCAGTTCATACATAGTGTGCGGGCAAAGCTTTCAAAAAACCTGAAAAATAATATCAAATTTTTTCTCTTTTTTAATGAAATTTTATAAATTTCAAAAACAAAGATCAAAATTCAAGTTAACAAATATGAGGTTTCACCCTGATACGAGCAGTTCTTAGCGCTTTTGCATCATACGGCTATATCATACCGCGATTGGCCCCTGCCTTGTGAGAACTACATTCAGTTTTGATTTTTTATGCTTCGGGTAAAATGTCGGCAGAAAATTTTGTTCCGACCATTGAAAATGGCAAGGAATTTTGTATTCGGTGGTTTTTTTCTTTTTTTTTTGTTTTCTACGCAAAACCAGGTGCCACAAATAATCATCGGAATAGGTCGCATGGTATATCATTTTAAATCCTTCTCAGTCATGCCTCAAACGACTTTAATTTTTAAAATTGTTTTCGCAGCGTCGAGAAAAATGTGTCTGAAATTTTTTTATTTTTGGTCTTTTTCCGAGTGAACAAGAACAAGGTGATCTAGCAGGCTCATTTTGTTATTCAACCAAAAGCCTTTACAATAAATAACCATTGTAATGGAAAGAATGTTCTATCATAATAAAGCTTTTTCAATCCTGATTCGATCGACATGAAAAAAAATTACAAAATATTTTCCAATTATTGGAGATAAACAGGTTTGAAACATATCAGCTTTAGTCTAATTTCGAGCGAGTAAAGCAAGCGAGCAGGCTTATTAAAGAAGTATAAGTCATGAAACCTCAGTTTTGCTCCAGTAAAATTTTTCATGAAGTTTTTTTGGCGCCAATCTTGGAATTAGCTTAAAAAGCTACTCACCTGGGGTCTATGTAACAGCATATTTTGCGAAAAATATCTAAAACAAAAACAAGCATAACCGATTGCTGCGCAAGTCGACTGTTCCGATCATGTTCTTAAGAATATATATTAAAAAAAAATTCTAACTAGTGTTGTTTTTTATGCGTGGGAAGATGAAAGGCTCTACAAAAAGCCTGAAATTCAGGCCATATCGGGCTAAGATTTTTGTCGAAAAAAACCTTGAAAAAATTTTTTTTTTAAATTTTTTTGCAGAAGTTTTTTGAACAAAAGATTCACCTCGAGGTACTTTGGGAAGAAGGCGGCCATTCCGAATATGAGGAAGGAGTCACATGAGTTGCTGAGACTTAGGAGTAGAAAGGGTCTGTTGCCCACTATCAAGTCCTTAGTGGCCCCCCACACCTGTCTCAATTTAGTGGTGTGGTCCTCGTCACTACTCAGCAGAGTTCGCTCTAGTTCGCTTTCGTCTTTGTGAACTTCACTCACCCGCTGCGCCTGCACTTCTTTGTATCTGAAAGACAAACAGAACAAATAGATAGTTTATGGCAGCCAATTTTGGCCGTAACTTTAAGAAGTGCCTCACAAAAGACCATCACACTACAAAAAAAATCAATTTTTGGCGAAAGGGCTGAAAAAAGCATAAAAAAGCAAAAATGCTATCAAAGACAAAACATCTAACAGTATTATTTTAAAAGACATTTTTGGAATACTTGATCATCATGTAAGTTAACAACTTTTCAAACTTATATCAGAAAGTATCAGTAACTCACCCTGGCAAGCGCTTTGGATAAAGCGAAACTGGAACAGCGCACAACATCACCAGCACAGCTCCCAGAAGATACCCCGCCCACCAGGCGCCGATCCAGAGGGGGTTATCTTGACTCACTTCGAAGCTGTCGTCTCGAAACACTTTGTCAACATTCACGTACACTCGAAGAAAGAGAGCGCCAATTATGTACCCGCCAGTGGGTCCGACTAGAGAGAGACAGTAGAAGATGCCCATGTAAAGTGAGCTGCGAGAAGGTAGGACGTTCTCGTCCAGGTAGACTATAGCTAGAACGTACAGAGGCACACAGCCTGCGCCCTGCAGAAACCGACCTGAAATTTCGAAATGATCCTTTTCCGAATTTTCTGACTACAGATTTGTTAAGTAAATTGTTTCTGAGATACTTTTCGCGTTTCTGAAGCAAAATGTACTTAACACCCCCCCTTGTTGCTATGGTGCAATATTTAGGGGGAAGGGGTTAGTTAAACCGATGAATTTAAATGTACAATGTACAAATATCAACGGAGAACTTTCTCTCACCGGCTGCGAACAGCAGAAAATAGACGCCTTTTGCGAAGAACCCTGTCTTGCTGTCCTGCACGAAGTCACAGTGACCTGATCTTCTGGTGAGGTCATCATCATCTTCGTTAAAAGTGTAGTTAAATGAGTCATTATCAGATATCCCGCACAGGTGTCCATTCTGAACGAGTGTCAAGTTGGATGACAGTTGGTAGCTGTCACTCAGAAAGTGGGGGGCTGAGTATAGCAGACAACCTGGAAAAAATGATAACTGACGACACGTAAGGAGCATGGATTTTTTACTCTGTTCAATTGATATTTCGACTGTGCTCAGCATATGTTTCGAAAGTCTTGGCCAAAAACGGTTCTGTTTTGACGTTATGTTGATCAAAAACCCGCAATCTCATTAGTAGAGCAAGATATTGTCTGCATTGAAGTCGACATATTGTCATTTTCAAGCTTAATACAAAATTCTGAGTTTTGGTAAGTTTTCCATTAATAATAATTTCATTTCTGAGTTTTTGTTTATTGTGTCTTATGGCAATCTTCTTTCTATTGCTTTTACAGAATAATCAAAAAATCTCAAGTAGCTTTCAACATTAACACGTTTGAATCTTCATGAGCAATTACGTGCCAAAAAAAAACTTTTTAGTCAGGTGGCCCTTTTGGATTGATTTAATATAATTTTGCCTGCGAAGTGCATGCAAACAGCTCGATTGTCTTATTCAACTTTCCCCAATCCTATATCTAGAAAATCTTAGATATATATACCTTTCCATCGATATAGAGTCAAACTCCTCGATAAAACTAACCTATGGAAAAGGACACAGCTCCGTATGCTATCCACTGACACTTATTCACATTGGAGCCTAAATAGCTGATGGGAATCAAAGTCAACGCAATTCCAACATCACTCATGCTCAATAAAAAACCAGCCACCCAACTTTTGAAATCGTATCTGGTCTCGATACTCGATAAAGTTGTGGGTGCCTCGCCATAAAGAACCATGCCTTCGAAACACACAAGAAGAGATAAAAAGAGAAGAGCGCAATCCGAGTTGTTTAATTTTTGCATCAGTTTCGGAGTCCAAGCGCCGACGCCACAAAGTTCGGCTTTCTCGTTTTCGTCCGAGATGCTATCGTCTCTGCTTCCTGATTCTAACGGCTCTTTATTCGACAATAACGAGTCCATTTCGTCCTCGGCGCCCGTTTCCCGAACTCTTAGGTCGCCGACTCGAAACTTGTTCATAATTTATTGCGTCAAAATTTATTACAGTCAAGTTTTTCTATTAACAAAATTAAAAATCATGTGAACCAATTCATGTACTTTTCACATACGCTGTATGTTTGACTTTTTGGTTCGTTTTTAACAAGTTCAGAAGAGCTCTGATAATTAGTCTACATTTTAGCTTTGCATTGATTCAGAACAATATAAGAACTGAATTAGCCACTTGCCGAACAAAAGAGTAAAAGGACGAAGTGCGGCTTTCTACAATTTTAGAATGTTCTTTGTGAACATTTTAAACGAACGAAAAACTTGAAAAATGGGTTACATTTAGGTAAATAGTGGGGGGCGTTAGACAGTGCCGAAGTTAGAGAGTGCCGAAAAAGGCGGGAAATATTGGAACGCAATTTAAGAGGCTAGCTTTTGGCGGGAAAATTAATAATGACACTTGAAACTTGTTCAGACTCAATTTTGGCGCCATAATCGATGAGCAAACAAAACTTTCTTTTCCTTTCTCAATTAGTTCACGACAAATAAACTTGTTCAGACTCAATTTTGGCGCCAAAATCGATGAGCAAACAAAACTTTCTTTTCCTTTCTCAATTAGTTCACGACAAATAAACTTGTTCAGACTCAATTTTGGCGCCAAAATCGATGAGCAAACAAAACTTTCTTTTCTTTTCTCAATTAGTTCACGACAAATAAGTCAGTTTCTGCACTCTTTAACAAATTTTCGGCACTCTTTAACAAATTTTTGTTTTCGGCACTCTCTTACTTCGGCACTGTCTTACCCAACCAAATAGTGTAGTTCAAATTTATTTACGGTTTTTCACAGCCCAGTTCGAGAATATGGCTATATTTCAGACCGAGGGGGCTATCATTTGACGGTTACTTAGCAGTATTTAGACAACCGCGTGTTCAGACACTGTATTAACCAATCAGAATCGAGACAAGGAAGATATGAAATTCATTTCTTTCCTTGTCTCGGTTCTGATTGGTTAATACAGTGTCTGAATACGCGGTTGTCTAAATACAGACCGCACTCCCATTTGACATGCTCAGACTTTGTTTGAAACTATGCGCGCAGACTGCGAGTTTGAGCCTGTGGTAATCATCAATATTTTGGTCCCAAATTAAATTGATTGGGTTTATGAAAGTCTGAATAAGAAATGGAACCTGATCTAAACTACATTTTATAATATTAACCAATTATATTCCATCTAACTAACAACCCACTTATTTGTAAGTGCTGAAATTACTTGTAATTTCAGCACCAGAGAGATTTGAATTTAACTTAGAAATTAGTTGCCTCTCCAAGAGAACTTCAGCAGTTGCAATAAGCCAGTATACTCTAGATCTATTGAGCCTAGCAGAGACTAGTTAAACACTCTGAGACTAGTAGATATAAGAGTAAGATTAGGATCGGTATTAGACTAAGAAGTTGCACGAATCTATCCGGCCGAAAATAAGATAGCGTGACGAGCAGACGGTGTACCCTATCCGAAATTACTCTATGAGTTAACCACATCGGTCCTAACTCATCTGGTACGACCATAAGTCTCGAATAAGACCTTAATAGCTTAGAATTAACCAAAAATAGATTAGAATTTAGACAAAACATTTTCAAAATGTTACCCGATAATAATTTAATTGAAATCAAAAGATCAGAGCCAATATTCCGAACAATACTAGAACTACCCGGTATTGGAAGAAGATCTCGGACAAGAGACGACATACGACTACGTAGAATCTTACCATTTAGTTTTATGGTTGTACAGCAAAAGCCAACCTAAACTTTTATATTTAGAATCTTATTAGCAATGAATTTAGATTTTCATATGCAAACGTAAAATTTTGAAGTAAATCTTCATGATCATTTCAGGCGCTAAACAAAAATATTAATGTACAATAACGATTGATAAAAAGATCTCAGACCGTTTCCCTAATTTCTGCAGTATTATATAAAAACGTATTTGAAAAATTTTTATTGAAAATAAAAAAATAGAATTAGTAGCATGACAATAAATAGTTAGTAATAATAAATCATCTTGTTGTTCCAGCTTCATCACCTAAACATAACAGCAAGCATAAACTCACTAACATCATTGAAAAACTAAATCTTTTTATTAAATAAAATTAAACCATTTTAAAGTTAAAATTACTTAGTTTTAAAAATCAGATCATCAAGGCTTATCCTTGGATCTTTAAAAATTTTCTATTTCACTAAATTTAAAACTTGGTCATCAAGGCCTATCCTTGGATCAAAAAGAACACTTTTGTTCTACCCCACCCACTTAGCAAGTGTCTAACGACCTCAAACGTCGATTCACCATCCAACCTTTTCAACAGACCCAGGACTAATAGAAAATTTTAAATAAAACTAACCATTCAAATTAAGCTAAACAGTGAAGAACTTCGGTTATTCATCCTTCACTTGAACCCTCCTCTTACCAGACCCAGGATAGATCTTAGACTTAGTAAGTTTAAAATAGTATCTAACGAACTTCTTGCGTTCTAATTATACCTGAACCTTGTGGATCGATTTACTATTCTCCAACCCTTGAACACAATCACTACCCCTAATTAAGATTAAGTAAGTTAACACCTTAACTTAGACTAGCCACGGGAAAGTAGAAAATCATTCTCCGGAATCGATATACTTTTCTCTCCAACCCTGAACAAAAAGACCCAGGTTAAGCTAACCAAAAAATCGTAAGGACTAACAGTTTAGGAAAATAGAAATAACTAACGACATCTTGCATCCCTCATCCTAAACCTTAAGTCATTCAAAAATTTAGGTAACAAACAAACAATCGTTTTACACAATTCTGAAATAGATAACCAAAAATCACTCCACATACACAAACAGTTGGATACATTCGAACAAAACGACAAACAATAAAAAGAAAAAATATAAACGAACAAAGACAAATCACACGAAAAAGATTTTCAAAAAATAGAAACGCATTTTCTGAATCAGAAGCCAACAGTTTAGACTAACTATACAAATTAAAAGAATCAATAGATAAAAATTGTCCCATTCATGATCAATTATATTTTTCCGACTCAGAAACAACTTCAAATTCATCAAAAAGAGGAAAAAGAAGAATAAAAAAGCAATATAAACACAAACCAGTACACTTGTATAATTGGAATCAACCAATTAGACACATTGATAGTTATATATTAACATTCGTCAAACGAAAAAATGAGCCACACTCAAAGTGACGAAAGTCCAGATGAAGAAGCAGTTTTTCCCTTTCTTATAGATTCACTCGATGATAGAGAACAAACACGACTTTTTAAGAACTTGCTAGTAAATTTGTTTGAACCAGGAATCAGCCCTTGCAAAGCAGAATTCCCAGATGTAAAAATCAAAAGACAAATTATTGAACTTTATTTGAAAGACATATGTAATCTAACATAACAATATGGAATCTACACCATAGAATTCAGCACACCAAATACAGCCCATCGTAAATATGTTATTCAAACAGACGATATTGACCTAGATTTTTCAAAATCACGTATGTTCCCATTATTGGAATCTCCCAAAAACATCAACCAATTCAGTAAATTTTCCAGAAAATCTACAACCTACACAGGATTATACTGAAAATTACCCATTTTTTCAACAAAATAAAAACAAAAAAACTTCACCATATAACAGAAACTATTTATCATCTGATGATGATGATTATCATCAACCAGATATTTTTGCACCATATACTAAAGAATATCGCACACAGAGACCGCGACAATCTCAACTATCTCAAAATATGAAAATTTACCCACAAAACCCAACAGATATACAAAATCCGCAACAAATTCATATAGAAAACCCATTTAACACACAATATTTTCAACCAATACAACCACAAAACCCAAGGTTATTGCATTCTTATCAACCAACACAAATGCAAAATGAAATACCGCTTCCATATTACCTTCAGCAACATGAAATCACAAAAAATCAACTTTCAAATTTTTCACAAATGCCAAATGCCGCAGAATCACTACAAATGACTATGAATCCATACCTCATGGGTGGATCATCATTAACATCGAATAAATCCTTAATGGTATTCACAGAAACAGACCCTGAATATTCTGTAGAAAATTATCTAAATGCAGTAACAGCAAATTTAATTTTAAATATAGGACCGGAACCAAATAATACGCCACTACATCAAAATTGGATACATAGACGCACAGCGTTAATACAAACAACTCTAGATGGCGCAGCCCAAAAATGGTTTTCAGTATTACCCATAGAAATAAAATCAGATGGAAAAGATTCACACAAGAATTTTCAAAAATGTGTGATTCTGAAAGAATCAAACAACATCAAAGAGTTTTATGCAACGAAATCCGCAGATTACCAAATGAAACAATTAAACAATTAGCAATACGAATCGAAACACTAGTTAGAAAAGCATATTCACTCAATACACATGACTACAAAAACACAAAATGACAGAAATTTTATTGATGACCTTAACACCTCAATTAAGGAAAATAGCTATAAAAAAGAGAGCATCTCATCCTTCCTCAATTCGAGAACCAGATTTAGATTTTCGAAAATTAGTAGATAATTTAGAACAAGCAGAAATCACAATGAAACTCGAGGAAACAGAAAATCTAATTCTACAATATGCTAATCGGATTGAAACAAATACTACAAATATAAATAACATACAAGAATCAGACACAGACCTGATTGAAAAAATCACTGAAATACTAAATATCTACGAAAAATATCCAAACTTTAAAGGCAAACCGTCTTTCAAAAAATGGTGTAATTATTGCCGACGATACGGACACAGTATTTCCGAATGTAAACAAAAACAACAAGACAATCAAAATAAACCTCAAAAGCACAAAGAACCAAATAAATCATTCTATCAATACATGAAAAAAGACCAAAATCTACCAAACAAAAATATATATAGTAATAGCAGTTCAGGAAAACCACTTCCGAGCTACTCAAATTACACAAGAAATCAATCACCATATAACTCAAGTTATAGAGGTAGATCACCTGAACGTGGATATACACGAAATTTCTCACAAAATAGATATGACCGATCGAATAGCAAAAATAACCAAAATAACTATTCACGATCGAATTCCAATACAACAGAATTTGTTTCTGGATCCAGTTCCCAATCAAACCCAAGGAATA